ACCGCTACTGCAGCTGCGAGCAGCAGCACCTCGTCTGCGAGCTCGGCTTCGACCCCATCGGCTACACCGGCCGCGACCACTTCGTCGACTACGAGCACCACCACGACTACGACGGCCACGTCATGCTAAGCAACTCGAGACGAGCTTTGATGGCTGACTCCGGTCTCGAGTACTCGCTGTGTGCGAGATATCACTGCATTTACTCGCGAGTGCCGATATTCTTCGAAAGCACGTCTAGCTTACTAGTAGTTTGTTGGATTGTAACGGAGAATACAGTGTGGCTTTTTGCTATAATCTCAGCGTTCTTATTCCTTTTAAGATTGTAGGAAGCAATGGCATTTCATTGCAAACTGCAGCATTTGGCTAGGATAATGCACAGTTGAAGAGCAATAGAGCTTAGTCTTGAGTTGCGAATCACGCCTTGTGTGACTCAAAACTTGCAAAAACAAAATATATGAATGATTACAAGGTACTGGAAGCGGATACAGATATTCTAGAAACACAATACTGTATTAGATCATTTGAAGCAATCTCCGGCTCAGCGGATGCATGCGTCAATACACGATATTCATATACTGCATATGCTGAGGTGGATTGCGGACGAGTTAGAGCATGTATGACTTTTTAAATTGGCGGTTGCTAGTAGTTACTTAGTAGCAATTTGCTACTAAGTAAATGTTGCTACTTTGAGCTAGAGGGTATTCCCAATGGTAGTAGACATACTAATGGGCGATATCTACATTAGTATTAGTATGCGGGTTGCCACGAATGCCTGGGAATACTCAAACCCAGTTTTTAGCGGTACTATTAACCCCTGGTTAGAGCATGCATTACTTTCTAACAAGGCGGTTGCTACTATGCTCTAGGTATACCAACTGCTGTAAAGCTCGATTGCGGAGGCTCTCTGACGCGTTCGAGTCACCACAAGCATTGAGAAAGCGAGTCTCGACCAAAATGTTCGGTGTGACCTCAAAGGAGGTCTTCAATCGCAGCGGCCAATGTTCAGTTGCATTTGCTCGTCAAATCCGGCACCACACTTACCGAAAATCGGATATTATCCACGAATAATCCCACTGCTCCAGTGATGCAACTGTATCAGACAAGGTGGGAGTCATCAGAAAAGTGACCGTCTGATACGCGCAACGTGGAACTCATGAACACCGGACCGGATTCTAACCGGGAGATGATGGCGCGAGGTGCCACGCCGTGACCGGGTGCGATCTTCGCAGCAGTGCAGTGATAATACAGTGAGTTGTTGATGCATCAACATTCCAAAGCCCGGTGTGTGTGCAGTGAAGGTATTAGGCGTACTAGTACTTCGCATGCCGACGGAGTACAGTATGGCGTATCGCGACCAATTGCTGGTTTGGCCCCTACGTGTAGCCACAACGATTCAACCATGGCTTCGCTCAGTGTGTTTTGCAGAAGCATTAGGATCAGACTACAGGACCACGCTCGCCAATGCTGGTCGGGCTTCAACCAGCAGGTGAGATGAGGCGGACGATAACGTGGCGTCGAAAAGACACACACGAACACCCGGTCAACTGGCTGGGCTCTTGATGTTGAAGTCATTCGGCTGATAATGTAGCGGATAGCAGTACACGATGCCACTCGCCTTTGCAGTCAACTTGCTGTGCAGATAGTATCTTTGCTGACAAAACCCCAGTAGTAATGCTTGAAGTATTAGCGTCGTCCTCCTCTCGTTGGGTTTCCGTCTCGACTCGATTTGCCCGTCAATTCTCTCACACGTAGCGTTTCTTGATCGTCATTTGTCAATTCTCTTGTTACTACAACAAGCTCAAGCCGCCCGCGGCTACAGCACTTCTCCAGCTGAAGATGAAGCTTTTGCTCGCTACCGTGACGACTGCTGTACTAGCCCAATCGACCTCAGCAGCCTCGTGTGCCGTCGCCACGCTCTCCAAGCTGCTATTGGATCAATACATCGATCAATGCTCCGACGACTCCGGGTACGTCTTCACGACCGGCGTCAAACCCACCGCGGACGAGGTTGCCGGTATGTGCGCTTCGGACGCGTGCCGCAGTCTCCTAATTGACGTGGAAGGCATGAACCTAACCGAGTGCACGCTCCCCATTGGCGACAAGATCTACCTGTTCGCTGACTTAATCGACTACGTCGCGGGCCAGTGTGACGCTGACACCCCTGTTCCAACGACTGTCACGCCCGAACCGACAACGGTAGCTCCGACACCCGTGCCGACGACGGCCGCTCCGGCACCAACTACAGCTACACCAGCACCTACTACGGCCATCGCATCGTGCACTTCAGCTCAGCTGAGATACCTGCTCACAAGCAGTTATATGACGCAGTGTGTCGCCGATACCGGCTACTCGTTCACAGCACCGACGTCTCCGACGGATGCGAACGTTGCCGCCATGTGCGCGTCCGACTCGTGCGTCAACCTGTTCGCCTATGTAGCGTCAATGGTGACAACGGACTGCCGTATTCCAGTAGGCGGGAAGATCCTGCTTTTAGCGGATTTGGTCGACTATGTGTCCGATCAATGCGACGCAACCACACCTACTCCAACCACTCCGACACCGACCACCGAAACGCCGACAACGCCGTCACCGACCACCGCCACACCCGTGACGACTTGCCAGACCTCGGTCCTCTCGGCTCTGCTCACGAATCAGTACATTGGCCAGTGCGGCGACGACTCGGGCTACTCGTTCACATCCGGAGCCCAACCGGATGCCGAGGAGGTCGCCGGTATGTGTGCATCGAGCGCTTGCGCCAATTTGTTGGCCGACGTGGAGGCACTGGGTCTATCGGAGTGCATTCTGCCGATCGGCGACAAGATCTACTTGTTCCGGGATCTGGTGGACTACGTCGCGGACCAATGCAGTGCGTCCACTGCGACTCCTTCGACGACCGTGCCGGTGACGGAGGCTCCGATCACTCCGACACCGACCACCGAAACACCATCAACTGGTGCACCAAGCACTGAATTGCCCGGAACAGAAATTCCTGTCACTCAAGCTCCCAGCCCCGATACACCAACTACGTCAACCCCTGGAACGGAGTCTCCAGCTACAACAACGCCAAACACTGACATACCGACGACTGAAAGTCCTGCCACCGATACGCCTACGACGGAAACTCCTGAGCCGACGTCTCCTATTCATGACGCTTGCTAAAGCGTCCAACACTTGCAGCTTTCTCGATGTTGAAGCGATTCAGCCAATCGGGTGGCAATTGTAAATGAAGATTTGCACGTGTGGTTTTGAAGTGTCATTTAGGTATTAGCAGTAATTGACAATTCCAAACCAAGACCGTACTTTTATAGGATCACTTCTATAGTACCTTCTATTCTACTTGACTTTCCTAGTAGACAACCTCATTAACTTTGATGATCGTATTCGACTTCGTTCATTGACTCGGGATGTCGGTGGCTGTTGCTGGGTTCTCGTTTGGACTCGGTTTCCCCCATTGGTGAACGTCCGCTGTCGCTATTCCAAGGCAGTGTGAGTGAGTGGAGTGATATGAGAAGTTATTGATTCATTTTTATCTTTTAATATGTCAGCCTAATTTCAAATCAATATTTCTCAAATGAATCCTAAAATAGCAAAATCAATCCGCAATAATCCGTTTTGTAGCTTTATGGCAAGTTCGACTGCTCCAATGGAAAGGTCCATAGCTGTGGCAGTGGTGAGGTGAGGTTTTGGTGCGCGAAACAACGTTCTAATATCTAACGACAACTCAACAATTTGTTTTTAGAAAGAACTCGGCTTGCTGCAAAAAAATCCAGTCGCGACAGTATTTTTAAGCATATTTATCATAACCACACTTGAAATACACATTTTATACAACTATACCCTGCCAGACGACCTGCATAAGACCACGTTCCGACAAGAGACGATCGACTCATGGTGTCACTCTCCACTGAAACTCGGGAGAAATCGACGCCTTCTCGAACACACGAGATACCTCCTCCAGTCCACTGAGCAGACGTAAGATCGGAGTCAGCATGTCAGATTGACTCGCCACACTTGACACGCGACAACTCTTCTCGTCCCACTCGAAACGCGTTGATCCCGCCATCACAAGACGTTGGTCCAGGAGTTTTTGACCAAGTGAAGAGTCTTCGCCCTCCACCAGGTGTGGGAATGCGTATTCCAACGTCCGCTCCGTGATGGTGACGCTGATCGTTGTAGTCGCGATTAAAGTCCCACCAAGATCTTTCGCTAACCCGTCGAGTCCGACTGCGACGTCGTCAAACCAGAGCGATAGTCGCTCCCAACTGCGCAACACAGCATCCACTCCTCGCTCCGAATTGTATGCCACGTCAGAGACCATGGTTCTCTGCAAGAATGCCATTAAAGCCTGTATTTCGACCGCGATAGGAGAAACGACGCTATACGGAAACCGAAAAAAGTACTCCATGGCTACGTGCCACACGGAGATAGTCGACTCAGGAACGGGAATATACTGGCTCAATCTCGCTTTCTGCGTCAATCCATGGGCTTCCAACTTAGAGCTTGATATGGGAGCTACTTCGGATAGATTAACGCGGTCCATCGTCTTGTTGATTCCCTCGCCAGCTTCGCAACGCTCTGCATGGCTAGACAGACTGGAATTAATCCTTTTAAGCTCGTTCAGTGGCCCCCGTCTTTCGTGTAGAGTGTCCAGCTTGCATCCATCCTGAGCAGCAAGCAAGCTGCAATGCTCTCGCACATATGCGTCCATATTGGAGTCAGCTTAAGTAGAAACTCGTCTTCGGTGCTGCTGTGTAAATATCAAAATGAACTCGGCGCTACAACATCGAAGTTCTCTACACAAGCATTGACAAATAGAGAAGCTGCTACTGGGACGTAAACAATGATAGCGTTTTGGTGTCAATTGCGTTTCGATACTCTTTAGTAAAGAGTCTTTACTTGGTAGTACTTGTAGTCGAGAACGATGAATCAAGTAGCGTTTCCACGCGATCTTTACTGACACTCGCATGACGTTAAAAATGCGGACGATATTCAAATTGACATATGTTATTCTAGATCTAGGGTTATCAGTCGACAAGACTGAAGACCAACACCGAATGCCTCGACAAAATAGAAGGCAAAACCATTGATCACCTTTCGGGTATTTTCGCGTTGAGTACGTGAAAACAGCGAGTGCGACTTCTTTTGTATTACGACAGTTATCCTTGCATGCAAGCCCTTTTAATTGAAGACCTCATGTGCGGGAAAGCCACGAGCAATTCAACTTTAATGACGTGGTACCGAAAATTTACTCATCATTAATCGCCATAGAGCGAACGCAAAGAACAGCCACACAGTAAAATAGCGTACTAACTACTGCAAACTGCCATGGCGTCAACTCAGCCCTCATGGCACACCTGCAACCACACGCCTACTGTACCGGTAATATCTAGGCGAGCCAAGTTCCCATTAACGAAACTGACGTGCACTAAATACAAATTTAACGCAACAGAGCACTCTCCAATCTAGACGTTTGTGCAACTCTTGCCAAGTGCTGTTGGTTGATTACTGATGGCTAACAGAAGTTTCATTTGCTCCAGGTCTCCACTGGAAATCAAGGGAAAGAAGAGCGTCCGCAAACACTCGAGACACATCTTCCAAGTTTCCCAGAAGATGAAGCATTGGAGTCAACATATCCGACTCTATCGACACACTGGTCACTTGTCCATTTATCGCGTCCCACTCAAAGCGAATTGAGCCGAGCATGGTGATCCGTTGGTTAACGAGAGCTTGACGGAGTAAAACTTTCGTTTCATCAAGTTCCGGAGTATCTTCATTGGACAGATGAGGGAAGACTGCAAGGAGTGTTTGCTCACTGATGGTGACGCTGGTAACTGACGTAGCGACCAACGAGTCTTCATTCTCCTGCATCATGCACTTGAGTTCGATCTCCATGTCCTTGAAAGCGTATGAGAGAAAATTCCAGTACTGAATCATCTTGTCGATGCCTTGGTCAGCGTTGAATACGACGTCGGGAGCCATCGTGGATTGGAAGAATGCCATCTGGACTCGCGACTGTATTTTATCCTCTCCAGACAGCAGGGACATCATTTCCGGTTCTTGTAAGCCATGTCGAAAGAGACGGAAGTACTCGAGAGCTGCACTCCACAAATTTTCCCGTGGAGGAAAAGCCATTGTCGTCGAGAAACGACGGCGCTTGAGTCTCTCAACCTCCTGCTGCAGTTGCTCGTTCTCCTTCTCCAGGTTCATCATGTGGTCCGACTGTTTCTTCCTGTATCGAGCCTGCTTCCTGCGTCGAAGTTCTCGTTGAATTTTCTCGACTGTACTGCTCTGTTTGAATCGTTGGATGCATGTCACGGGTGCTTCTCCTTGAGGACTTGACGGGTTTGATCCAGCGGTAAACGAGTGGATCTTTGGCTGCTCACTGAGCTGTTGAATCTTCCGCTTGCGTTCAGTCGATGGGGTGAGGCCGATATCTGGTGATAGTTTTCCACTAGGTGCAGTTCCAACTGTCGGTTCGGGAAAAGGCTGTGTAACTGGAGCCTGAGGCGGTTTAGAAGCGGTGAACATAGCTCGTTCACCGACGCGTTGTCGGGTGTCGAAGGCGCTACGATATGACTTGGTACGTGCACTCACACTCCCAATAATCCCGTCGCTGAGAAGGTGTGCATTTGGAGGATGAAAGATGCTTGAACTCATTGGTGTTGGCGATGAGAAGCAGTGTTTAACGCAATTACCCTCTTGGTTGTGTTGTAAATTGTGAAGTGAGAGGTTCTGAGGGGTACCTCAGTCGTGTCATGGCTGAGAGGGATAAAGGACGACGATGTCGGAAACGGAATCAAAAATAATGGCGTGTTTCAGGAGTATTGGTTGTTAGTATATGTTGACATCCGGCTACTCATCTGCAGATTCAATGATAATGTAAGCACAAAATGCGTAGCGTGTGCTTTCCAGCAGTTGCCGAAGTCAACTGCTGGAGAGGTTTGTTAATTCAGAAGAGTGCACTCAGTACTCCCTGTGATTTTAAACTCCGGTCGCTCAAGTTTTAGTAGGTGACAGTGCTGGATCCCTCCCTCACTACAATGACTATGCTAAGTGTCTCCTTGAGTGTACGTTTTGAATGGAATTTGGCCATACTAGAACCTGTTTTTTTTTACTAATGTCCTTAGTTCATCGACTAGTATTTCATAAAGTCTAAACCTCAGAAAACCACTTTAACTGATCTACTTAATGACGTGTGTCTCTATTAGTACGCCTCATTTGGCCAGGATTAGTTCATCTTGTGGCGCAAGGGCGTGTAACCTCGATACGCGTTATCCGAGTCAAACTAGAGCCCGTTTCTGTGAAGACAACATGTGTTTTGCCTGCCACACAATCAATGATTATTTACTCGTCAGTATCGTTGCAACTTGTTAACTATAACACTCTTGCGCTTCTAAGGTGCTGCGCTTTGCCCCATACTTAGCTTTTAGCGTGATCATGGCGTCAGAATTATCCAGAACGGCTCGTTTCCTCGCTCAGTACTTAGGCATTGCTGCTGAAAATAATATTTTGGTGGGTGCTTCAGAAGAAGCGTAAGCAGTCTTACCTCTAGCATGGACCAGTCGCTCAAACAACGTGGAGCCATGCAAATTAAGCTCACTACTAATGATTTGCAGTGCTGTGCGCTTCATAGAGGCATGTACCGTAACCTTGACAGCGTTATCGAAAGTTCCACTTGCCGTTAAACCTCTACGAAAGCGTATTCTACACACAAAATAGTTGCCACGCAATGTGATGGGCGTGGCAACACTGCTTACTTCTAAGAGCCGCAAGGTTTGTACGAATTAAGCTTTGATTTTTGAAGGCTACGGCATCCACTCTGTGCCTACGACGATAACAACAAACGGAGTTACTTAATAAGCTACAGTAGGTGTCTAGTGCCGGTAAGACGTGCACAGGTCCATAATGGCCCCTGCTGCGAGCACTGCTAGCGGAGATTCAAAGTGTTTTTATAAGCTCTTGGTATTTCAATACTTTCTTTTAAAAATGAAAATATTACACGAAGAAAGAAAAAGGAGCGGATCGGAATCTTGCGGTACTTTAAAAACAAATATGGAAGTGAAAAACTGACAGGAGGTACAGCAATACTAAGAAAAACCAAGCCGTGTGATAGGTCTGTCATCCAAATATCGTGACATCCAAAGTGAAGTTTTAAAAGTTTGGTAAAACCGCACGACTAGCGTTAATCATTCACTGCTGCAACGTTTTTCTAGGCTATACACTCCATATCTCTGTAAAATGTTGCTAAAATCGTTTTAATACATTCAGAATGGGCTCGTCTAGCACCATTCCAAATATCACCACAGCTCCAGATGAATCTGTTCTGCAGGCTATCAATCACAACAAACAGTAGGATTTTTTGCGATAAGACGTGAAGTTCTTCGTGAGCGATAGAGTGCCTTTACTGTCGGGCCCTACGATGCTGCAACATGCGCTAATGCAGAGGAGTTGAACCAGACACATCGACTCAAGTCAGTACCCCAGAGATAGAAGTAAAAGAGTTGATCAATTATTTTTTTACTGTGATCAATGATCACGGCTAAATAATCAAGTATTGCGTGGTGTTAAACACAGCTCACCATAAGCTCCTTGACACATGGGCATGGTGAAGTGGATCACTCGTTTCGAGACTGTCTATACAATGCCACAAAGTGTACGGACCAAATAAATAACTGGACATATTTTCTTTAATTAACAATCAGTCCTTCAGCTAACTGCGAATAAATCATACCAGAAGGTTTTGATGTACTACCTAAACATCCTCGAGATTGTCGTATTAAATTGCTTCTACAGCACGTACAAGATGTCAAGGCTGAAATAAGCTGGACCAGGTCGCGCAACTCAAATCATTCGTATGAGAGAAACTAAGACTTCTTAGCTTCTATTAGCAGAAGTCAAAGCCATCACGAATGGAAACAGCAATATTCACGACCAACTTATCTTTGTGTGGCATGTAAAACACATGTTGCCTTACAAGCTATCTCTTAGAAACCATAGTTATTCCATGCACCTGATGATGTGTGTCTCCACTGGTATGCCTCATTTTGCCAGGATTGGCACGTTTGTGGCGCTTGAGCATGTAATCTCGATACGCGTTAGCCACGTCAAACTTTTGCGTGTTTAAGAGACCAAATATTGCACTAATTTGATGAACTAGCTGCCCATCACAACAACAAGACGCTAGAAAAAAGATGGCTTTAATATGGCTGCTTCAAAATCTGTACAGCTCACGAAACACTATCAAAGCGATACTTACCATGCTCACAACCTGCCAATTACGGTGCGAATCCGAGTAACACCAACGAGATAGATGGATCACAATACTATTCTTTTCAGATCTCGTCCTAAATTTGAATACTCGGAGTTCATACACAGTGGGAGTATTGGATGCACTCTTCTGAATTAACAAACCTCTCCAGCAGTTGACTTCGGCAACTGCTGGACAGCACACGCTACGCATTTTGTGCTTACATTATCATTGAATCTGCAGATGAGTAGCCGGATGTCAACATATACTAACAACCAATACTCCTGAAACACGCCATTATTTTTGATTCCGTTTCCGACATCGTCGTCCTTTATCCCTCTCAGCCATGACACGACTGAGGTACCCCTCAGAACCTCTCACTTCACAATTTACAACACAACCAAGAGGGTAATTGCGTTAAACACTGCTTCTCATCGCCAACACCAATGAGTTCAAGCATCTTTCATCCTCCAAATGCACACCTTCTCAGCGACGGGATTATTGGGAGTGTGAGTGCACGTACCAAGTCATATCGTAGCGCCTTCGACACCCGACAACGCGTCGGTGAACGAGCTATGTTCACCGCTTCTAAACCGCCTCAGGCTCCAGTTGCACAGCCTTTTCCCGAACCGACAGTTGGAACTGCACCTAGTGGAAAACTATCACCAGATATCGGCCTCACCCCATCGACTGAACGCAAGCGGAAGATTCAACAGCTCAGTGAGCAGCCAAAGATCCACTCGTTTACCGCTGGATCAAACCCGTCAAGTCCTCAAGGAGAAGCACCCGTGACATGCATCCAACGATTCAAACAGAGCAGTACAGTCGAGAAAATTCAACGAGAACTTCGACGCAGGAAGCAGGCTCGATACAGGAAGAAACAGTCGGACCACATGATGAACCTGGAGAAGGAGAACGAGCAACTGCAGCAGGAGGTTGAGAGACTCAAGCGCCGTCGTTTCTCGACGACAATGGCTTTTCCTCCACGGGAAAATTTGTGGAGTGCAGCTCTCGAGTACTTCCGTCTCTTTCGACATGGCTTACAAGAACCGAAAATGATGTCCCTGCTGTCTGAAGAGGATAAAATACAGTCGCGAGTCCAGATGGCATTCTTCCAATCCACGATGGCTCCCGACGTCGTATTCAACGCTGACCAAGGCATCGACAAGATGATTCAGTACTGGAATTTTCTCTCATACGCTTTCAAGGACATGGAGATCGAACTCAAGCGCATGATGCAGGAGAATGAAGACTCGTTGGTCGCTACGTCAGTTACCAGCGTCACCATCAGTGAGCAAACACTCCTTGCAGTCTTCCCTCATCTGTCCAATGAAGATACTCCGGAACTTGATGAAACGAAAGTTTTACTCCGTCAAGCTCTCGTTAACCAACGCATCACCATGCTCGGCTCAATTCGCTTTGAGTGGGACGCGATAAATGGACAAGTGACCAGTGTGTCGATAGAGTCGGATATGTTGACTCCAATGCTTCATCTTCTGGGAAACTTGGAAGATGTGTCTCGAGTGTTTGCGGACGCTCTTCTTTCCCTTGATTTCCAGTGGAGACCTAAAGCAAACAATCTCTCGGGAAACAACCAGTAATCTATAGCAGATCGGTCGCATATCCACAGTAAGAAAGAATTCGGTCGAGGAGTTTAGAATATATTTGACGATCTTCCCGTATATGAAAGCGAAATTGCAAACAAAAACAGTTTAAAAAAAAGAAAAAGGGGTAAACGTGCTCGAGTTCATTTTATTTGTCAAAACCGTTTATGCTTGTCCGAAGCCATCTGCTACGAGACGTAGCAAACTGCACAGAAATGCGTCACATTTAGTCGGACATCGCCTTGTTGAACCCAGCATTCGTCCAGAATTTCTTTTCCGCATTCTCCGCCTTGCCACTGCGTCACCATGCGAGTCTCCGACGTGGCTACAGGCGGCAGTGCGCTTTCCCACGCCGCTCTACTCGAGGCCGCACGTCGTCAAGCGGCCAACGAAGCCCCAGCTCAGCTCCGCGATGCCCAAGAAGCCGAGGAAAGCCCTGGAGAAGAGGACAAACAACAAAAGAAGACGCCCCCACCGCCCGCTAGAAGCCTCGCCGCTGCCGTACTCAACGGCTGCGTGGGAGAATTCTACCGCGCGATGGAACACGTGACCAACATTCTGACAGACGAAGAGCTAAAGTTGCCGCAGATCGTCGTCATCGGCGAAGAGAGCAGCGGCAAGTCCAGTGTGCTGGAGAATGTAGCCATGTTGCCGCTGTTTCCCCGCGATTCTGATATCTGCACGAGGATGCCCATCCTCCTCAAAATGTCGCACGGCAACATTGAAGGCGACCCAGAACTCATGCCGCACTGCAAGGGCAACCCGCACCCAGCAGACCAACAACAGATCAAGATGCGACTGATCTACTCGGACGCCCGAGCGCCGATTGAGTCCGAGAGGCTCTTCACACTGCAAGAAGCGGCGCAGCTCATGAGCAAGTGGATGAAGCAGATCGTTCAGGAGGAACACGACGCCAACAAACTCGCTGGAGTCGTGGATCACGTGCTGGAGATTGAAGTGCGCGCGCCCAATTTGCCCAACTTGAAGGTAGTGGACTTGCCCGGAATTGTCGCAGGGAAACTCATTGACGAGCCCGAAGACATGATGCAACGCACTCGGGCGCTTGTGGAAAAGTATCTAAAGATGCCAGACACACTGGTACTAGCGGTAGTGCCAGCGTTTGAGCGTGCGCGAAACTCACAGGCGTTCCAGTTGGTACAGCAGTATAAGCTAGCGGACAAGACGATAGGAGTGTTGACAATGGTGGATCGCGCTCTGGATGAGACGAACCCTGAGGGTCCTTTAACTCAAGTCAAAAGTCGTCTTGACGGTACATCGAGCGATATCGTGTACCTGAAAGAAGGTTATGTGGCTGTGAGAAACCGCAACTCACGTCTAGTGCCTGAGGTAAGTTTGGAGGAGTTTAAAGAGGAGGAAGATGCGTGGCTCGAAGGAAATTTACCCGGATATATCGACCGTCGTCTTGCTTCCAGCACCGTACTGGTGGATAAACTGGAAAAAATGTTGGCAACTCATATTCGTCAGTACTGGGTGCCTGCAACACAAGCGAAAATCAAAAAGGAAATCGAAAAAGTTGCAGACAAAGTGGCGAGTTTGGGGCCTGATGCACAAGAAATAGTCGACGATTTCCTTCGTGTGTCTCAGTCAGTAGCTCGCAAACGCATGTTGCAACTGATAGAGCCGATTGTGCCGCAACTGATGAGCTCAGTTGACGAAATGATGCTGCAATTTGCAGCAATTGTTCATTCGGACTTCATGGAGTCACGCGACGAGCACGAGTTGATTTTGGCTCCTTTTCACGCAAAAGTGAAGCCTTCGTTTAAAACAAACTCAGGTTCGTTGATAGCAGCGTCGATGGTGATGTTAGGCTCGCATGACACATACATCGCCGACCATTTGGTCCGGATCCTCAAGAATATAGTGCTGCACATTGTGAAGCTCGTGCAAAAGACGATCAAATTGGAGGAAAATACGCAGCGCTTAGATCGATTTGGCAATCTTCACTACTTTTTCGCTAGCATTTTATGGGAAAGATTGAACGAACTGTTGATTGATGAGGATGATCTACTGGCACGCTTGGATAAATCCTTTTTGGACTTTGATCCAGAGAACGCCACTAATCTGCAGCTGCCGAAGTCCGTCAAGAAGATTTCGCTCGAAGAATCTAGTGAATTGAAGGTTTTGGCCAATGACTTGGAACTGTATCTGGCCTCGAGGGGTTTCCACAACACTTCGTTTGATGAAGTTTACGTTCCAAAGGATACTTCTGACATGATGCCTATGACCAGGTTCGTACATTTGGATAGTATGGTTTTATTCAACTTAAAACATATCACTAACAATATTTCTCGTGACATGGTAGGGAGATGTCGCGTTTGATCATTAGCGCCCTGGTACCAACGCTGGGGAAAGCGCACCCTCGTGGTCTCGGACAGGCATCTGCACACAATGGATTCCATTTTGGTGGTAGTTTTGGTGCAAAACAGACTACCGAGGAGTCTCGAGAAGCCGGCGAGTTCGAGCTTCGCCTGTTCTTCGCACTTACGTCACACGTGGTTGCCCCACTCCTTCAGTCAATCTGTGGCGTGAGTGATCTGATACGGAAGATGCAGGAATATGTGTCCAGCTTTCCGAAAGTGTCAGCTTGCAAGACGCATATTTTCCACGATACGACGGCTGGAAAACGCAAGAAGCTGAAGAAGAAGATGAAGCACCTGGATGCAGCTGCTGAAGGGCTGAAAGCACTCTTTCCTTGATTTTTATATGATCGACGCTGCTTCGAAAACGAATACGCAATTTATGTGTCGTAAAAAAAGTAAAAAATCGAGATTTCAAAGCAAATTATATAATTTTTCATACATGCTGCGAGTTTCTTCTTATACCATAGAACGCCACTGGAAGTCAGGGGTGACCGAAGATCTCTGGAAGACTTGCGCCACGTCTTCCACGTTGCCTAATAGATGCAACATCGGTGTTAACAGATCCGAATGAGCTATGACACTAGTGAAGCATCGACTCGCACTATCCCACTCGAAGCGTGTCAAGCCTCGCATGACAATGTGTCGACCAAGAAGTTGTTCGGCAAGCTCGCAGTTTGTGCCATTCCGGCTGATCAAGTGAGGAAACACGTTGCGTAGTGTTCGTTCTGTAACAGTGACGCTGGTTTCTGTGATAGCTTCCAACGACCCAGCGGCACTTCGGTCCAAACCCTCTACTTTCACTTCCACGTCTTTAAACCACAAGGAGATGCACTTCCAGCTTCTCAGCATGGCATCGTGCCCCTGTCCAGTGTTAAGCACCACATCGGGGCTCATAGTTTTCCGTAGAAAAGCCAGTTGCTCGTCGCTGTGTTTAATGATAGTCGACCGTCCTCTTGACTGCAGACCGTATCGGAACAGTTTAAAGTACTCGACTGCTACATCCCAGCCATTGTGTCGTGCTGGCAGAGCTGAAATCTCACGACGTCGATACTCAACCTTGTCAATCTCTTCGCGCAACTTAAGCGTCTGTTTCTTAAGGTGACTAATACGGTCGTCATGCATGTAGTCCAACCTCTTCTCCTCGCGGCACTTTGCAGCCGCAGCTTCTTGTTTCTCGCTGTTTAGCGACTCTGTGTCTGTTTCCGGCTGTGGCGTGCTCGCTTCTGTGCGTGCACAGTGAAGCTTTCGACTCGAATAGTCCGGCGATTCAACGCGCTGTCGCTTTGTTCCGCTCGTCAACGATAGTAGTCCGAGGACTGCCTCAGCATCGCGCTGAGGAATGACCGAGCGCTCACTACCACAGCTCGTCCTGTTCACTGGTCTAGACTCATATGGGCGCGTTGCAGGGTAAGAGGGTTGGCGCGGCCGATAATAGCCTCGATAAGACTGTGGGGCTCTATACTCTTCACTGACGACGTCCCTGCTAGACCGTCTGCGCTGTACCACCCCGCCGATGATGCTGTCACTGAGGAAGCGATAGTTTGGTGGGCGGAGGGTGTAGAAGTCCATCGTTATAAAATCCGGAAGAAATTACTTGGACTCTGTTGTCGGGACTGCGAAATGAGAAATGACGTTCGGACTCCACACAATCTGCGATAATTTGGAAGGATAGGTAAAAGTAACAGCTGTCTGTATTACGGTGCAGGACGGCATCCTTTTCGACGATCCTCTCGATAGTAATCGATTAAAGTATTTCTATCGAGAGGAACTACTGTTTAGCGTTGGCACTCTTACATATATGTAGTGCGAGTTTTCAAAGATCCATGTCACTGAAACTTTAGAATTCGCAGTGCGGACGAACAGGAGCTCACGAACACAACCTCTATATGTGTGACAAGAGCTATATTTAATATATCTGCTGCCTCACATATAGAGGTGCTAATGTCAACGGTATCCTCTCAACACGAAAGTGTACAGGAGAGCACATCCTTTTCGGCATGAGGACTGCCAACACAGGTTGTGATCGTAAAGGCAGAGCCAAATACCAGTGCAGCGAGGAGGGCCCATGAAGTTGCAGACGATTTACTGCGATATATTTTGTCTACATCGTGGCACTACGTCCGTTGGTCTTCATTTGCATGTTAAGTCTGAGCGTGTTCCTGGAACATCATTAATAGATGGCAATGCGAGCTATCCGTTGCGTCCTGAGGGTTTCGTGTAATCCAAAGACCTTTCACAATAATGTTGGACACGTGGCAAGGACACGAAAAGCGACGCGACTGCGAAGTGGCTGAATTATAGATATAAACTAGGAATGAAAGCTGTTAGTGAGTGTTACTACGAAATTGTTGCACACAGCTCGGCGTTGCGTGGAGTTGTAGAAGGAGTGCTTTGCCAGCTCGCTATTGTGATCAAAGTAAAGAGCCCGGAATCGACACTTCTTACGTTTCACTTCCGTCATAGGTACCGTTAAAAAATTGTAAATCATGAAACTGCCGTGGTCATCGTTTGGAGATATCACTATGAGGGGGTATTATGCCTTGGAGGATCATTTGTAAATGCTCTCAGTGTGATATACTTGTGTTCAGCGGCAACAGCCGGACCATCTGGTCGATGGGCAATTGCCGATCAATTGAAAGTTCCGCTTGCGCCCCAACTTTGAAACTGGTTCTTTTAGAGGAGAGAGATATTGACAGTACTTAAGTTTGCGCTGTACTTTATTCTGCATTATAGATACATGTACTGGAATATGTTTGCAAACTTCGCAAACTGCTACATTCTTTGTATCCGTATATTATTCAGGCAAATCCATTTACTGTATTGTATGCAAAGCCTAAACAGTTCTTGTACAACGACACCACGATATTCCCCATCAAGGACAAATTACATATTAGTAATAAGCTACAGAGCGTTGCAACAAAGTTGAGCGACAATATGACTTGTGGTTCATGATGGAAACCTTCGAGGCATCTCGAGTCTTTATTCCAGGGCAACAACACGTTCCAATTGACAGGTACAAGCAGTGGATACCAGCGGAGCTAAGCTCAGCTGCGCCACCGACAAGAGTTCTGTACCTACCTGTGGTAAGTAAACAACTGCTCTGTGGTGCTCCTTTTTTGACGACTTTTTTTACAGCTGACTAGAACCAGGGTTCACCGTGACAAAATCGCCCGTATTATGGTAATCAAACATTCAGATTGGTGTCGCACGTAATACACACGTGGGGCTTAATCCAAGTTATAGGAATGAATTTCTGCCTCGACGCTTGGTAAATAGTCTTTACTAACGACAGTAGCTGGTGCCTGAATTGTTAGTAGAATTGTTGGTATGATAGGGAAATACATGTACACTATGCTCCATGGATGCTCATCAGTGCCTTCCCATCCGCGTTTATTGATTGGGTTTGTTGAACTATCGTCGTAATCCAGGCGTAAAGTACCCCTATGTTCGATATTCGTCCTATGACGTTGTCTTGGAGTTTATATGTGTATGTAAAGATTGAGCGAAACTTGGCCTTTGGTTTGCTAGTGCTTCGCAGGATCAGGTACACATCCAATCTCTTTCTTTCCATCTTCTTTAAAATAACCACCATAGCTTACTGTTACTGTAAACATCGTGTTGAC